AACCCCCAAAAAAAAAACAAAAAAAAATCCCTTCAAGGAAATAGAAAGAAAATGTAAAAGAATTCATGTTATGAAACTTAGTCTTGATTCAAGATCAAGCATCCAATACCAGAGTTAACTTAAGTCAGACATAGAGATGAGCTACCTGGAACTCAACACTTTCAAGAAAAATGCAAGTGTAGTTAATTTGTTCGGCTACAAGTTCACCTTTATGTTGCCATCTCACATGAAACAATGTACGCAAACAAGCTGTTCAATCTCCAAAGTTTTCCATACTAAACAACAAAAGATGCTCACATTTATGATGGACATGCAAAACAAAACCGCTATATGACAGTCACCTCTTACCTCATTAGTAGAGTTAACGACAGCATCTACCTCAAGATTCCAGGGGTCTCCTCTCCACAGGTATATCTTGGAGTTAATCTCATGATCCAGGGGAAACTTGGAAACCATGCCACTTGCATTGCCCTCAGACCCAGAGGCAGATGCCAAAGGATCTGGGAAGTATGAATTAGAAGGATCTTCATTCTCATATGAGTACCTAAATTCAGCATTACTCCAACATGGAACTTGGTCCAGTGTAACCACAGGATCTCCACTATCTGTAGGTACCCCGCCTCGAGTACTAGTAGGCACAGGCCGATACATATTCTGCTACTCTTTATCAAATTTCTCTTCCTAGTCGTTCAGAAAAGAGCTGATATTTTCCTTTATTTGAATATTGCTAAAGTCAAACTCATAACCCACAAGGATTGTACCAAAACAACTCAAATTTCCTGAAAAAAAGAAAACAAAAGACTTGGTATTAGAATATAAGGATGCAATACCATGAGCATGTATCCCTGAGATCAGTAGTATTTCAGAGAAAAATAGAATTATTGCGTCCAAATATAGCTCCTCAAACTCCACTTTTTAAAAGCAAGAAGCGACAAAGAAGCAACAATATCCATGGAGCTTGAAGTAAAAGTGAGAAGTGAAGTGCACGTTTCATAGAAGTGAAGCGCACAATTGATGGACAATTAAACAAAGTGGATAGTACTAAACATTTTGGAATATACCAAAATAGTGCTATACAAATTGGGAAACTCAACAACCCCATGATTGTAACTCTATCAAAAAACCTTAACAGGCATCAATCTAAATCAACTCCATATTAGTTTTCATCAAGAAGTCAAAAATTGATCAATTTAGGACCAAAATAAAAGTATGTATTTAAAGACCCCAATTTCAAAGCTCTTCCGATTGTTCAAAATCACAGGTTAATCCCAAAAGAAAAAAAAAAGACCCAATAATACATACACAACAAGGTTGAGAGAGACATAGATATGCATATACATTGAAAATTATGAACAATTACCTGCAATCGGTGCGCGGTTTCGACAATATAGAAATAAGCGAGGCAAAGACAGAAACTTTGAGAGGAATTTTGGTGGACGTGATGAGCTCGCCGAAACAAAGACTCCCTTCTCTCCGACGGGAGTCTATTGCTATTTTGTGGAATATTTTTCTTTAACTTATCGTTGGGGTTGTTTTGTCATTTTCGGTGTCAGTATTCGCTGTTAAGCTCCAAAAAAAAAACTTAAAATTATTATGAAGCTGGAAGTGAAATACTTGAGAGTAATTAGTATAAAACACCACCATCAAATTTGAATTGGTCATATGACCTCCTTTTTTTTTTTTTTTTTTCCCAACTTTTTTTTTTAGTTTGGAAAATGGCTAAATAAATGAGTTAAGATAATTGGGGTCTTTTTAACATTTTCAAAACTTATAAGTCACCTATTAAATAATGGAACATCTTTATTTCCTTCATTTCTTTTACCAATTTATCTTTGTTCTTTCGCTTCACTCTCTAACTCACCCACTCGATCACGGTGGTTTCTGGCAGCCTCCGACAAGAATCAAGCTTCAATTGGGTTGAATCGTCTATGTAGACCCAACAAGCAATGTATATTTACTCAGAATTTTTCAATTTCAGGTAAATCACAAATTCTTATTTTTTTCGTTTCTTACAAATGTGATCTGGGGTTTGTAAAGGGATTTGTATATGTGCACTTGGAATTTCGATATAGTTGTGTATAACTATATATTATATGGCGTGGGTGGTTATATTTCCTTGTTCGACTACCTTTGGACTCTATATTTTAAATTTCGTCAGTCTGGCGACCTAATGTTTATTAATAAACCCGTGGCGGATTGTCGTCTGCTAATAATTATTTGTTGAAATTAGGGCTTGTTTTTCTTATTCCAATCGTAAGTTTCAAATTATTAAATGTGATATTATATATTTGCATGTAGGTATCACAAAAAGAAATTAATTGCTAAGATGATGATGAACAAGGTGAAAATGGTGAAGATGAGCTGGAAAGTGAAACAGATGGAGCAGGTGAAGGTGACCATAATGTTCCATCAATTCATGTATTTGAATTGATCATGACACAGTTTTTTTTGGTGAACTAGTTGTAATTTTGATATTTGGATCTACCTTTATGTAATGAAATAATTTTTTGTCGATTAACTGTTGTTGTTGTAATTTTTATTTCGATGATCATCCTTTTTGTATTACAAAAAGCTAGAATTGCGTAATAGATAATGTATCTAGTAATAAAATAGCTACTTGGTTGCATAATAGACACTGAGTCCATTAATAAATAGCTATTTAGTTGCGTAATAGACTCAAACTCGCGTCTAATAACTTCAACAAATGTTACATTAGTAAACAAATTGTTTAATATACTTTATTCAGTAGAACATTACATGATCCAAAACACTTCCAACAAAGAAAACTTGGAATAATTAAACTATTCCTACCAACAAACAAATATTCCTTCTCATTTCATCACCCAAGCTGGCACGATCCGACAACGACGCACAAGACCTTAATCCGCTTATTCAGATTCATTTCATTCATCTTAACCATCCATCCAACATAATCTTCTGCAGGAATATACCTTGCCTCCAGTTCAATCCTTCCATCAACATCATCTTCTACATGAACATCCATTGCTAAAATATTTTCAAATTCAACCACCTTTATCTATAGAACTATTCTTTCACACTTAAGAGTGTCCTTTTCATACTTCAATGCTGATAAGGTCAGCAATCTTTGGATCTAGCAAATTATCGTCCCATTCGTAAAACAACATCTTTTACCCTATCCAATGAAATCATATTTTTTTATGGCTAAACTTGAAATCCAAAAATTAAAAAAGGATGAAAATATTAAATTTATCTTAAATTAGTTTTCAAACATTTTGAGAATCGCCTACCAGCATTCACCGGAGTTGTAGTTGTAAACATGCTGGTAGCAATGCGCAATAACATATAATGACCCGACCGATCGTTTTGAGGATTTACATTCTGTTTGGTGGTTCGAGGGCATGAGTAGCTTCGTATGATGTATTATGACTTGTGTGAAGCGTTGGGGGATTCAGAATTGATATCGAAGAATGATTCTTATTTTAGAAGCTTAGGTCGGAAGAGTTGACTTTTGTGTATTTGACCTTGGATCAGAGTTTTGATGATTCCGTTAGGTTCGTATGGTGATTTTAGACTTGAGCGTATGCTCGGATTTGCATTTGGATGATTCTAGAAGGTTTTGGCTATACTTGGCGAAAGTTGGCAATTTAAAGATTTGGGAGATTCAGAAATTTGGCCGAGAGTTGATTTTGATGATATTGGGTTCAGATTGTTGTTCTAGAAGTTGGAATATGTTTGTTATGTTATTTGGAATTTGTGTAATAAAATTTGAGGTCATTCCGAGTTGATTTGATATGATTCGGCATGAGTTTTGAAAGTTGAAAGTTCCTAAGTTCATTAAGTTTGATTTGAGGTGCAGTGGTTTTGATGTTGTTATGGGTGATTTGAGGCCCTGAGTAGTCCTCCTTATGTTTTGGGACTTTTTGGTATGCTCGAATAGGGTCTCGAGGGGCTCGGGTGAGTTTCAGACGTGGTTCAGATAGGTTTGTCTCATGGTGCACTGCTGAAGAATTTGTGGTGCTGGAGTTTCCGCATATGTAGAAGTTTGGATGCAGATACGAACATCGTATCGCAAAAGCGAAGATGGTCTAGTGGGCGTGACGTTGCTGGTATGGAGACTTGAGAGCATCCGTGTGTCCGAAGGTGCGGTCCCCTGAGCGCAGAAACGGATTTGTTGTCGCAAAAGCGACATGGGCTTAGTTTGGGCGATTGCGCAGAAACGAAGTTGAGGCCACAGAAACGAAACCTCAGAAGCGGGTCTTTAGTCGCAGATGCGACTTACCTGGCAGACCATATATATTCGAGGGTTATGTTCATTTTATCACATTTGGAGATTTGGAGCTCGGTTTTAGGCTATTTTAGAGAGGATTTTCACCACATAGATTGGGGTAAGTATTTTTTTGACTCGGTTTTGATTAATTTTGGCATTTGATTAATGAATTTAAAAGAGAAATTAATTTTTGTCCAAATTTTTCTAAAACGAATATTTGAGATTTGAACATTGATTCGGAGTCAAATCTCCAAATGGTATTTGAGAAGGGTTGGGGGTTACGCACGTGCTAGGTGACGGGCGTGTGTGCGTGCACCAGGTCTTCATGATCCGGATAGTTCTTAGGCCATTATATGACTTGTTTTGCTATTATGCCTCTTGATATTATGTTTTCTCCATTTGTATGACTATGTGAGTTGTTATTCATGTTAGAAATCATGTCTAGGTTATTTGAGATCTGATCGGCCGTTTTGAGCATTTGCATTCTTTCCGGTGGTTCGAGGACATGAGTAGCTTTGTATGATGTATTATGAATTATGAATTATGTGTATCGTCGGTTTTGGTTTTCGGGTGATTCGGAATTGATTTAGAAGAATGATTCTAATTTTAGAAGCTTTAAGTCGGAAGAGTTGACCAAAGTTAACTTTTGTGTATTTGACCTTGGATTGGAGTTTTGATGGTTCTGTTAGGTCTGGATGGTAATTTTAAACTTGGGCGTATGGCCGGATTTGCATTTGGATGTTTCTAGAAGGTTTTGGCCATAATGGGCGAAAGTTGGCAATTTAAAGGTTTGGAAGGTTCAAAAGTTTGACCGGGAGTAGACTTTGATGATATCGGGTTCGGATTGTTGTTCTGAAAGTTGGAATACATTTTTCATGTTATTTGGAACTTGTGTGCAAAATTTGAGGTCATTCCGAGTTGATTTGATATAGTTCCGCACGAGTTTTCGAAGTTGAAAGTTCAGAAATTTATTAAGTTTGATTTGAGGTGCGATTAGTGATTTTGATGTTTTTATGGGTGATTTGAGGCCTCGAGTAGGTCCGCGTTATATTTTGGGACTTTTTGATATGTTCGGACATGGTCCCTAGGAGCTCGGATGAGTTTCGAACGTGGTTCAGTGTCACGCCCCGAACCTGGAGGGGGGGGGGGGAGGGAGGGAGGGGGCGAGACCCGCACCCGGTGCCTCACCTATCCTTGCGTACCAACTTGCGACTTAGGGACTATGAACATATAATGTCATACTTTGGCCATGGGCCACATTGCAAGACAATTTGTGAAGCAAAATATAAAACTGAATGGAAACTAACGCTGACTAAACATCAATATAAAGCTGCGTCGGCAAGGCCGTCATAACTACTACAGCTGGCAAACCAACAAAATATACACACAAGGTCTACAAGCCCAACATACTGCACTAACTGACAGGATATGTCTACAAGCATCTACTGATAGATGTACCGTGATCGGAACATGGCCCCGACCTACCCATAACCTATATAAATATATACACAAGATGTACACAAAACTTCTAGACCCGGCAACTCCGAAGGACGTGGAGCTTACCGATAAATCTGAACTCGGGCAACACCTACTAAGGAGGTCTACCCGCATGTCTGTCTGAATCTGCACGCATGAAATGCAGCGTCCCTAGAAAAAGGGACGTCAGTACGAAATAATGTACCGAGTATGTAAGGCAACAAAATAACTGAAAGCTGAAATTGAATTGATAATATAATAACTGAAAGTAACTGTGAGTCAAAGATAATCCGAAGATATGCTTACCTACTGATACTGGCTCAACTCTCTCACTATAGTAAGTAAAATAGTTGTCTGACCCTATAAGGCTCGATATATATTACTGCTCTGCCATAGTAGGCTCGCTCATAGGCGCTCGGCCATACTAGGCTCTGTATCTCGGCCAACTGAGCTCGCTGATAGGCGCTCGGCCACAGTAGGCTCGGTATATAACTTACCATCTGATCAGAGGTGCCCAATAGGGGCCTGCCCACCGCTTATAGCTCGATGGTGGTGAAAATACTATAGTGTATATATATATATATATATATATATATATATATATATATATATATATATATATAAAACCTCTTCTCTCTTGATTGGAAGAAGACAATACTCAGTTGAATATAAAAGCCCGATAAGGAAGAATACTGTAATTTATGAGACTGGGATAATGTACATAAGTTCGGAAGTATGAACTTCTCTTTATGCTTCGTCATCAAACACATGTAGTTACGAGATCATGCCAAAATGAAGGAAGGGCTTAGCCTTAACATCCCCGGCGTAGGAAAAAATTCGTATGATATTCTTGAGAAGGAATGCACCGTACTCCCTTAAAATTTCAAAATCTCACGCTGCTTAAGATGCTACGAAATCTTTGTTTAAATTGTTGAAGATCCGTACCTTACTTGTTGAAGATCATGTTGCTTCAAATTGCACCATACTTAGAGTCTTTGCTATTTTTGAATTGTTGAAAGATATGTATATTTCTTTGAATTAAAAAGGCCTTATGATTGAATTGGTGTGGGCCCCACTCCATGTGGTGGATTAACCACACCCCTTAATCTTTGATTTTGCCACGTATCCATAATGACTTAAGAGTTATATATTTGGGTGGTGGCTTGCTGCCACGTGGGGGTGGGGGGTGGGGGGTGGGGGGATTAATCTTTATCCCATAATTCTTTAGTTAATTAAGTGATATTCCAATTACCTAATAATTAATCAATTGCCCACATAATTAAGAATTATCTCAAATTACTTAAAATACTACTCACTTTTAACATACTTTAAGTATTCTACTATCGTGGTCATGGGGTACCTTGTATGACACTAGTCTATAAATACCGGATATTGCAGCTCGGACCGTATTTTATCCGAAATCGACAACCTTCAATGAAAATCATTTTTTTTGATTCGTTACCCTTTATCTTTCACGACACTTACTTATCGCTTGTTATAAATAGCATAAATGCTTATAATCTCAAGATAATCTCATCCCTGAGTCTACGTCTATTAACTGAAGACGAAACTTTAACGTACGAAAACGCGAGATGTAACATCATTTCCCTCTTAGAAACATTTGTCCTTGAATGTTTACTCTTAGAGACTTTGGGAAATTTTTTTCCAGAGTCTCGTCCGTACACTAGACTAAAACCAACCTGTACGCAGCCAGGAAATATACTATACATGCCACACATAGCCAATGTCTATAAATAGAAACACTTGGCCTCACACAGCTGTGCATTATAAGTTCTGAAAGTAAAAAATAAGAGCTTACCTGATGACCTACTGGCCCGAATAGAGTTGTGCTGAGGTATCCCACCTCGGGCCATATCTTCGTTTTGAAATAGGTGGGGGTATTTAGACTTCATTTCTTCCTCTGCTTCCCATGTCATCTCTTCCACATTCTTGCTTCTCCATAAAACCTTCACAGAGGCTACCTCCTTATTCCGTAGCTTGTGGATTTGTTGGTCTAGGATGGCAATCACAATTTCCTCGTATGACAAGTCCTTCGTAATCTGTACATCATCCGTGGGCACCACTTGGGTAGGATCTCCAATGCACTTTCGTAGCATAGATACGTGAAAAATCGGATGGACAGACTCCAATTCTGAGGGTAATTCTAACTCATATGCTACTTGGCCCACTCTCTGAATGATTCTATAAGGCCCAATATACCGTGGGCTAAGCTTGCCTTTCTTGCCAAACCTCATCATGCCCTTCATAGGTGACACCTTTAAGAATACCCAGTCATTAACCCCGAACTCTACGTCTTGTCGCCGCATGTCAGAATATGACTTCTGACGACTCTGGGCTGTCAACAGTCGCTCTCGGATAAGCTTTACTTTCTCTATGGCATGTTGAACAAGGTCTAGCCCATGTAACCCAGATTCTCCAACATCAAACCACCCGATAGAAGATCTGCACTTATGCTCATACAAAGCTTCGTACGGAGCCATCTGGATACTGGAGCGGGAACTGTTATTATATGCAAACTCGATAAGAGGTAGGTGTTTATCCCAACTTCTTTTAAAATCCAACACACATGCTAGTAACATATCCTCGAGCATTTGAATTGTACGCACGACTTATCCATCAGTATGTGGATGAAAAGCTGTGTTGAGATTCACTTGACTCCCTAGACCTTTCTAAATGACCTCCAAAAATGTGCTGTAAACTGGCCCCCACGGTCAGATATAATAGATACTAGTACTCCGTGTAGCCGCACTATCTCCTTAATATATAACTTTGCATAGTCTTCTGCTGTATATGTAGATATGATCGATAGGAAATGAGCTGATTTCATGAGCCTATCGACTATCACCCATATGGAATCGAACTTACGATGAGAACGAGTTAAACCCGTGATAAAGTCCATGTTTATCGCCTCCTATTTCCACATCTGGATCTCTATAGTCTGCATTAGCCCTCTCGGCTTCTGGTGCTTTACCTTAAACTTCTGGCAACGAGGACACTGAGCGACAAACTCAACAATGTTCTTCTTCATATTGTTCCACCAATACACATCCTTAATACCATGATACATCTTCGTGGATCCAGGATGAATGGAGTACCACGAATAATGTGCCTCTAACATAATCCTGTCTCGTAGCCCTGCTACATCTGGAACACACAAACGACCCCTATATCTGAGAACCCCATCTCCCTTGAGCTCTAACAACGACTTCTTGTACTGCGTAACTCGCTTTCTCAACTCGACCAACTTTGGGTCCTCGTACTGCATCTCCTTTACTTCAGCTATGAGAGATGATTTTGCAGTATTTTGGAGTACAACTCCACCATTACCAGAGTCTACTAACCAAACCCTCAAACAAGCCAATTGATGAATCTCTCTAGTTAATTGTGCCTCTACATGTGCTAATCTACCCATAGATCGGCGACTTAAGGCATCTGCTACAACATTTGCTTTCCCTGGATGGTAGAGAATGTTAACATCGTAATCTTTCAATAACTCAAGCTATCGCCTCTGTCGCAAATTCAATCTTTTTACTTGAGGATATATTGCAGGCTTTTATGATCTGTGAATATATCAACGTGAACACCATATAAATAATGCTGTCATATCTTAAGTGCATGGACAACCGCAGCTAACTCGAGGTCGTGGTTCGGATAATTCCGCTCGTGCTTCCTTAATTGCATTGAAGCATACGCAATTACTTTACCATGTTACATCAGGACACATCCTAACCTGACACTTGAGGCATCACAATACATGGCATAACCATCTGGACCCTCTGAAAGTGCTAGAACTGGTGCTGAGGTCAACCTGTTCTTAAGCTCCTGGAAACTCTGCTCGCAAGCCTCCGTCCACTGAAACTTAGTTGCTTTCTGCGTCAACTTCGTTAATGGTGCCGAAAGGGAAGAAAAACCCTCTACGAACCTCCGGTAGTATCCTGCTAAGCCTAGAAAGCTACGAACCTCTGCCGGAGTGTAGGTCTAGGCCAGTATTTCACAGCCTCAATCTTCTGAGTGTCTACCTTTATACCTCCATCGGATACAATGTGCCCCAAGAATGCTATAGACTTCAACCAGAACTCACATTTAGAATACTTAGCATACAATTTACTATCACGGAGGGTTTGGAGTACCGCTCGCAGGTGGTCCGCATGCTCATCCTCTGAACGTGAATAAACCAAAATATCATCAATAAATACTATCACGAACAAATCTAAAAATGGTCGGAATAGGCTATTCATCAAGTCCATAAATACGGCAGGTGCATTCGTCAACCCGAAGGACATGACAAGGAACTCGAAGTGTCCATATCGGGTCCTAAAGGCTGTCTTGGGAATATCTTTCCCCCAAACTCTGACATGTTGGTACCCCGACCTCAAATCTATCTTTGAAAAGCATCTAGCTCCCCGCAACTGATCAAACAAGTCATCTATCCTTGGAAGTGGATACTTATTCTTAATAGTTACCTTGTTTAGTTGCCTATAATTGATACACATCCTCAGCGAGCCGTCATTCTTCCGTACAAACAGTACCGGTGCACCCCAAGATGAGGTACTAGGCCTGATGAAACCTTTCTCCAGCAAATCTTTTAACTACTCCTTCAACTCCTCAATTCATCAAGTGCCATTCTATATGGAGGGATGGATATTGGTTGAGTTCCCGGAAGCAAATCGATGCCAAAATCAATCTCTCGCTCTGGAGGAATACCTAGAAGTTCATCTGGAAATACATATGCATACTCTTTGACTACTGGAATAAACTGAAGTGTAGGTATCTCAGCATCTGCATCTCTAACTCGCACAATATGATAAATGCACCCTTTTGCGATCATTTTCCTCGCCTTCAGATAGGAAATAAACCTACATTTGGGTGTCGCTATATTACCTACCCATTCAAGGAATGGCTCACCCGGAAAATGAAATCTGGTTGTCTTTGCTCGACAATCAATTGTGGCATAGCAAGCTGCCAACCAGTCCATGCCCATGATAGCATAAAAATCCAACATCTCTAGCTCAACTAGGTCGGTTGAGGTCTGACGACCACAAACAACCTCGGTAAACTCGTCTAGCGATAATTGATTCTCCGACCGGTGTAGATACCGCAAAAGGATCACTTAGTATTTCAAGCACTATACCAAACTTCCCCGCGACAAATGGGGTAATACACGATAAAGTAGATCCTGGGTCTATCAAGGCATAAGCATCGTGAGAGCAAAGGGTCAACATACCTGTCACAACGTCTGGTGAAGACTCCTGGTCCTGTCGACCCGCTAAAGCATAGCTACGATTCTGGTTACCACCTGAATAAGAAACTCTACCTCTGCCTCGACCTCTACCAGCCAAAGACTGAGACTCGCGCCCTGAAGGATGCACGGACAAAGATGATCCTGTTGCTGAATTCGCTGGTTCCGCCATAACCCCAGAATATCTATTTGGGCAATCTCGCATCATATGCCCCGGACGTCCACATGTATGACAAGCATCAGAACTGACTCGGCATTGACCCAAGCGTCCTCTACCACATATCACACCGCGACGGAAATGGCCATGTCTGCCCTGAACCTCGCTGTTGCTGCAAACCCGATGCCTGTGAGCTTTCACCTGGTCCTGACTGAGTATAGCGGTCATACCTGTAACCCTGTAACTGAGGTGGCAGAGGCCTAGGTGGACGTTCGAAGTACTGGGGCCTATAACTACCCTGAGACTACTCTTGAGACCTGGCAAATCTCATCCTCTTACGCTGTCCTGACTCAGTCCTCTTTGTACCCTGCTGCCGACGCCTACCCCTTTCGATATTCTGGGTGAATGCCTGAATCCGGGAGATATCCATATTATCCTGCAATGCAGCGGTGGCACATGCCTCGGTCAACTCTGGGGCCAATCCTGCTATAAACCTGTGAATCCTGTCCCGTATAGTAACAACTATGGATGATGCATATCTGGCCAATGAGTCCAAACGGAGACTATATTCTTGAACACTTATATTGCCCTGCTTGAGGGCTAGAAACTGATCGACTCGATCCTGTCAGATCTCCCGTGGTAAGTACTGGTCAAGAAAGGTATCCGAAAAATTCTCCCAAATAGCTGGAGGTGCATCACGTCCCCTAGACCTCTCCCATCCCCCGTACCAAAGGATTGCAATATCTCGGAGTCGAAAAGCTGCTAACTCAACTGCCTCTTTCTCCGTGGCATGCATAACCTGAAAGATCCTGTGAAGCTGATCTATGCATCGCACTCCTCAAGTCCTGATCCGATGGAAGCGGAGGGGGAACTGAATGTGTGGTCTCCCTAGGAATCTCCTCAGGTGGTGGAGGAGCCGGTAATGGGTGAGTAGGGGTCTCTCCCTGGGCCTCATATTGGGCCCCATCTACTGGGGGTACCCTGCTAGTCCCCTCACCTACTGCTGTATCTCTCCTCTGGCTAGCCGTAGTCTTCCTAGTCACCGTCACTTGTGCATGCAAACGCCAACATGTAAGTTTAACTCAAATTTCCTATAACTCAGTTCTACAACACGATTTAGATTTGAAAGAAGGGTAACCAACTCCTAAATGCCCTGTAGTCCCCTGCTTATATAATGTGGTGCACCACACATCTATAAAAAGGACCCTACTAGACACGACTTGTAGACTCCCTAGGACAGAACTGCTCTGATACCACTTTTTTCACGCCCCGAACTTGGGGGGGCAAGACCGGCACCCGGTGCCTCACCTATCCTTGCGTACCAACTTGCGATTAAGGGATTCTGAACATATAATGTCATACTACACATTGCAAGACAATTTGCAAAGAAAAATATAAAACTGAATGGAAACTAATGATGACTATACATCAATATAAAGCTGGGCTGGAAAAGCCGTCATAACTACTACAGCTGAAAAACCAACAAAATATACAAACAAGGCCTACACGCCCAACATACTGCACTAACTGACAAGATATGTCTACAAGCCTCTATTGATGGACGTACCGTGATCGAAACAGGGCATCGACCTACCCATAACCTATATACATATATACATAAGATGTACACAAAACATCTAGACCCGACAACTCCGAAGGACGTGGAGCTTACCGATAAAGTTGAACTCGGGCAACACCTACTGAGGAGGTCTACCCACCTATCTGTCTGAACCTGCACACATGAAATGCAGCGTCCCTAGAAAAAGGGACGTCAGTACGAAATAATGTATCGAGTATGTAAGGCAACAGAATAACTGAAAGTTGAAACTGAACTAATAATATAATAACTGAAAGCAACTGTGAGTTAAAGATAGTATGAAGATATGCTAACCTGCTGATACTGACTCAACTCTCTCAATATAGTTAGTAAAATAGTTGTCCTGCCCTATAAGGCTCAGTATATATATAACTGCTCTGCCGTAGTAGGCTCGCTCATAGGTGCTCGACCATACTAGGCTCACTATCTCGGCCAACTAGGCTCGCTCATTGGCGCTCAGCCACAGTAGGCTCGGTATATAACTTAC